CCTCCATCCTCTGTTTCCCCTCCTTCCTCGCTGTCCTCCCTCTCATCTTCCTGTGAAGTGGACAGGAGAGACTCAGTCCTCCCTCTTTCTGCCTCTCCTTCCTCCTCCTCCTCCTCCTCTTCTCCCCACGTTCAGTCTACAATGCCCCCCTCCCTCTCCCTATCACTGTCTCCCACGTCCGCTGTGGCCCCGCCCCTGCTGCCGCTCTGCTTGGAGCTCGGAGCTCTGGGGGAGTCGGAGGCAGCGAGGGAGGATGCAGAAGAAGAGGTGAAGGACAGGAGAGGGGAAGATGATGATGATGAAGGAAGTGCTCCTCCCTCTAAACTCGCCCTCCTGCAGGTGAGCATGTGTCCTTCAGTGACTGTTTCCTGTAGCAGAAGCGTGTGACCCTCCTCCTACATCAACACCCTTTTTATTTCTGTGCCTTCCAGACAAACCACGCCTCCTCCAGCTTGGCACCACGGCAACAGACCATTAGCAGCTCTGCCTCCCTGCTCCTGGTGTGTCAGAGTTCGGCGACCCAGGCCTGCCAGCCGGCCAATCAGACTTACCGACAGGCTGACGAGCATCAGCATCCGTTAAACCCCGGGCAACACGCCAATCACCTGTGTATACCTGAGGCCCCGAGCCCAGCTCAGACATCCCGTCAGCCCTTGTTGCTGCAGCAGCAGTCGTCAATATTTGCCAACAGTGACGCTAACATGGACTCCACACCTGCTGCTGTTGCCATGGATACCGCTATCCAGGTGAAAGAGGAGAGCAGGCGGGGCTCCGACTCCGAGGACACCTGCATGAACACTCAGCTGGAGGAGGAGGCGGAGCCCTGCGAGCGGGGAGGGGAGGAGCTTGACATCTCCTTTGACAGTCAGTTTCCCGACCTCATCTCTGACCTCATGACAGAGGAGGCCAATCCCGTCGCGGCTCATTGCGCTGCCGTCTCCGCCGCGCCGAGCCCCGCCGTGTTTCCGGCAGGAGTCCGCTACGTCGTTCCTCCCCAGCCCTCCCCTTCCTCCTCCTTTCTCCCTTTTCCTCACCCGCTGCCCGCCTCCTCCGCACGCCTCGCCTCCATCACAGACTTCTCCCCGGAGTGGTCGTACCCCGAGGTAATCAGTCGCCAATAAATCGGCTTCACAGTCGAGCAATCAGTCAATAGAAAGTCAGTCAGAGAGTTTACAGTGAAGGAAGTGATCGGGACATTGATCAGACGAGTCAGTGATTGATACTCTAAGCTTGGGTGGAGTTCAGCTGCTCGTCCACAAGAGGGCAGCAGAGTCCAGCAGCTGATTCAGTCTCTACCTTCACTGTCGTCATTGTCATTATTTATCGTCAGTGAGGTTTTATTGATTTAACTGGTCAGAAGATTGAACCTGATGTCCATAAAACGACATGATGCATCGATGCAGCCGACTGTGATTGGCCTGTTCGCTATGGTCAGACCCTCCTGCTGCTTCTTGTGGTGTTGGACATTTGTACAGGCCACGTCACACATCATAAGCCGCCCCCAGAGAGCGAGCTCGTGGCATGATGATTTCTTTGTGTTCTTACTCGTCTCTCAATTGAAAAATGTTTTTTGTTTCATTCTTTGTAACTGAGGGAAAGATGGCACAACAACGTCTCCAACCAATAACAAGCAAACAACTTCCTAATTTTAAACTGAAATCTGAGTCAAAAAAACATATCCAATAATGATTTCTTACATCAACCCTCTGGGGTCTACGAACACACCGGTGCATCACATGACCAATTTAAGACGACACAGCTACAAGATGCAGTGACCCAGAGTCTCCATTTCAAATTCGGTAGAAAGGGAACTTCAAACTATAGTTTTTAAATTGTGTCGATAGTAAAACCAGTTATGATTAAAAAATGGCGACGGAAAGCGGGCGAGCGGAAGAAAGAGAGAGAGTGAGTTTTCATATTCGAGACATTAGTGACGTTTAGTGTTTGGAGGATATAGTTAGTGTGTTGTGTTTTGTGTGTCAGTTATGCTGCTGAATGTCACATTTGCTCCACAAAAGCCACCAAAGGCAGATTCCAGTGGAAACGCTGTTCCCACATGGAAAACTGGACTGATGCACCTCCTGCTGTCAGACCTGGTTTAGGCCTGTGCTGTTCTCCTCTGTCTTATACTGAACACAAACTATTTTTTTGGACTGGCACAAATAATTTGTGTGCCTTCTTATTTGATGCAGCACAGCTGATTGTTCTGTAAATAGATTTAAATGGTTATATAAAAAACGTCTGAGGCCTTGGCTGCATTTTTAGGTAAATAGTACCAAATAACTTTGTTGTATTTGCATTCCAAGTTATAAAAATGATTCGTTAAACATGTTTGTGGGTTTTACAGTAAAAAATATAACTTTTTTCTACTCGGATTTAACATTTTTTGTCTGAATTTAGATCAATTGTGATAATATAGTGTGTAAAAATGAAAAAATAACTCCAGTTTCAGATATTTGAGGTTGTGCTGAAAATAGTGATACCAGACAAGGCAAGAAAAACGTATTTTAAAGGTGAAATATAGAGGTAAAATCAAACGTAGTCAAAAACGGCCAATTATACCCTGGACCCCAGATAGGTAGGTAAGGTATCTCAGAAAAATTCTGCGTAGATAATTGTAATAAAATATTAATTTTGAATATTTTTCTCATCGCTGTTGTTGTTGTTTTTTTTAATGCAAACTCTCTATGGGTTGCAAAACACCCTGTACGTGATGGAGGGAACACAACTTTCAATTTATCCAAGATTAGACGCGACAAAAAAGATGGAAATCTTTGCTGGATGTAATTAAACAGATTGTCGTCTGCTGAGTTGGTGGTGTGGGCACCCGAGTTTGTGAACGCGATAATTCAACAACGAAGTGATGTAGGATTTTGAAATCGTGCCACAGGTGCTTCTACTAAGAGGCTGAGGGGTAGCAAACTTTTAACATCTTCATCTTTAGTAATGAACTCTTCTTCTTTTGTACTTTGATCAGTAAACATGTCGATTGTCTTTGGAGACGAAGTGTTGCGCAGAGTCAAATGTCAGGCAAGAGGTTGAAAAAGTTATTGTCAGAATTACAGATGTGTCATCCTCACGTCGCGTCAAAAGGATAAAGCAACTGTGTGTGTTATTAAATACATAATCAATATTATGTATTTAAATACATGTATGTAAAGTGATGACTCATCCGTCATCGTCGTGTCCTCTGCAGGGCGGAGTAAAGGTGCTGATAACGGGGCCGTGGAGCGAGCCGTCGGGTCGGTATTCATGCGTGTTCGATCAGAGCACCGTCCCCGCCTCGCTGATCCAGCCAGGGGTGCTGCGCTGCTACTGTCCTGGTACACACAGATTGTCCTCTTCCAGCCTGACTACGCTGATTGAAATGGCGCGTGTGACCTGACAGACTCTCCCATCTCCTGTCTTTCAGCCCACGAGGCCGGCCTGGTCTGTCTGCAGGTCCTGGAGTCTGGAGGTTCGGTTTCGTCTTCGGTCCTGTTCGAGTACAGAGCGAGGAACGCCAGCTCTCTGCCCAGCTCTCAGCTCGACTGGCTCTCACTAGACGGTCAGATTTCCCTCTCTACGTCGCCACCTACACATGACAAATAATTAACGTGGAAGAGGGCTGAAAGAGACTTTAGAGATCCTGATATTTCAGATTTTGTACTGCCAAAAAACAGATGATGCTTCATATGTTTGAATCTCAGGCATTACATGACAACCCCAACACAAGGCAGTCTGTATCCGTGAAATCAACCAATCAAAACCAAGCCTACAAAACATCGAAAAGTCAGTTCAGTCAAGTAAACTCTACACAAGCGTTTCAGAGGTCAGATACACTTCTTCAAAGCTCACTCCAACCTCAAAACCAAACTGTCACTCAGTTTAGGCTGTTCCAAAATCCCAGTTTGTTCTTATGACCGTGAAGAACAGCCACAAACCCACAGAAACCAACACAGAAGCAAACAGAAGTCAAGTATCTGGAAGATTATCCATCAGGCGAAGTGTCCCATCAGAGGTTAACCTCCTTAATCTTACTTATGAGGCGAAACCAGCCAAAATGTTAAAGATGTGAGGACCAACCAGTCTGTGGGCTACAGTATTTTTGTTGTTGATGGTCCTTATGCCGCAATGCAAACTGTTCCAATATATAAAGAGCGTCCAATTTGTTAAGCAATCACATCCTCCCTACACACATGGTGTCATCACCATTACACTCCCTCCACTTGGTTCTCTGGAGGACTGTATGGACGTCTGTCTGAATATGTCGTTTGTTCTTGGATGAAAAATGATGTAGTAGAAAAAAACTAGTAGAAGTTTTAAATAAGTTGTATCAGCATTTTGGGTTCAGTCCCTCTGTGCTGTAGTGGTTTACACATCACGTGTTCGTGGGTTCATGTTTGACTCATGCGGTCAGGAACAAATCGCCTGTTAATCAGAATGTTGATGGTTTGAAAGCATTTAAAGGCCAAAGTGCTGTGTGAATGTGAAGTGTAGTTAGAAGGTTTACAGTGGAGGAACTACTGTTCAGTGATCGGGATATTGATCAGTGATACTCTGAGCTGCTCCACTACAGTCAGCTGCTCGTCCACAAGATGGCAGCAGAGTCCAACAGCTGATTCAGACCAGTCTCTACCTTCACTGTAGTCGTTGTCATTATTTATCATCATACAGTGAACTTTTATTTTAACTTTTCTTCTGTAACTTTGCGTCTGGCAAAGATTTAGTTCCATCCAGCAGCCTAAGCAGAGAAGCCCAGACCTCCCTCTCCCCAGCCACCTCCTCTAGCTCAGCGGTCCCCAACCCCCGGG